AGTTACATACAGTCTGGTAAGCATGAAGGATGGTAACACGAAGTTTTCAAAATTCTGAAACCTGTAGCCTTCAAACGGTTCAACAGAAAGGAATGTGCTTGGCCGCACCTTCAGTGCTAACCGGATACAAAAAGCTCACTATCCCATGTCAATGCAATAGTGAACGTTGATATAAAGCATATTGGTAAGCCATACAGAGATCATTCAAATGATGCTTCCCCTTTCGACACATAAGTCAGTGTACAGACAGTGAACTTTAACCACAGCTGAATGACTAAAGTAGGCCACAGGAGAAAAAATGACCCCAAAGTAATACATGAACGAGGACTCAAAAATGTAAGTTCTATCCCTTTCTCGTTCTTTAAGTGGTGGCAGCCAAGGAACGTCTAAGAGATTTGGTTGTAAGACTGGGTCTTTATCTACGAGAAAAAATAATCTGACCACCGAAGCATTGTCTGGAGCCGACAGAATCCAAAGGCGCAGGAAGGAGTGGTTGCCCTATCCATTAAAATTACTATTCCCCTTGTCGTTATCTATGTACCTCATGAACGTGGGATGTGCAAATCAGTGACTGGTTTGCGTCGCCGTATTTCAAGCTTCAGAGTGAATGAAGACTTTTCAGACAATCTCGATACTTGTTCTTTGAGTAATCCATGTTTAATCATAGGGGAATTTAATGAAATCTGTGTAGAGTGGGAATATCTGAAGATCTGTGTGCCGGAAATGTCTTTCGAAACGATATTAGGTGAGGTGGTTATTGCAGGTGGCCTAGTACAACATGTGAAAGGAGAGAGTGGGTACGATCCGGGCTCGGAATCATCCTCAATAGGTCTTATAAAACCGATTATGAGGATGACGTCTCAAAATTAGACTATATGCCACCCGTAGGTAAGAGTGATCACACAGTTCTGTTGGAGGCTTACTGGACGTAGGAAAGACACAGTAAGGAAGCCTCTTAGGGTTTTACTTAATGATAATCAAACCAAGAAAATATTTCAGGAGCAACTAGAAAGAGAGTCAGGCATCGATGTAAGTTATTCTCATCCAGAAGCAGGTTGGTATGATATCAAGAAGGCTGTGGAAACAGCAGTGATATCTGTTAGCAAAGTAAACCATAAGGCTAGGATGAAGCCGTGGATATCAGTAGCATCCACCGAACTGATGGATGCTCGAAAACGCATCCCACCTGACTCTGAACATGATGAAGAGCGTAGTCAGCTTAGGCGCAGACTTATAAAAAGTCTACGTAACGACCGTGAACAGTGGTGGGTGGCGAAAGCAAAAGCGATGGAAAAGGCAGCGGCGATCGGCAACAGTAGACAACTTTTCCGCCTTATTAAAGAAACTGGTATTAAGAACCCGAATGTGAGTGAGAGTATCTCGGAAAAGGATGGTCTTATTATCCATTCTCAATCTAGGAGACTGGATCGATGGCCAGAACACTTTAGGGATCAGTTCAACTGGCCTTCAGCCACTCTTCGGTTGCCCACGATCTCCAGTCATCCTGAATGGCAAATCGACCTAAGTCCCCCTAGTCTTGATGACGTTGAGAAAGCGTTAGGAAATCTGAAGCGAAGACGACTGACCCCTGAGATATTTAAGGATGGTGGTCCAGTTTTATCAGCTAGGTTGACTGAGATCTTAGGTAGAATCTGGGAACTGGACGCAATCCCATCCGACTGGTCTCAATACTTGATTGTCCCAATCTAAAAGAAAGGACAGAAGTCTTGTTGTGACAATCACAGGGAAATAAGTCTAACTAATATAGTATCTAAAATATTGGCCTCAATAATACTTCAACCCTTAACGAAAGCTCGTGAAGAGCGAACTCGAGAAAACCAATCTGGTTTTCGACCTGGACGTGGCTGTATAGACCACATTTTCACACTCAGACAGGTCCTGGAACACAGACACACATTTAGGCGTCCTACAATAGTCGTGTTCCTGGACCTTAAGGCGGCATTTGACTCAGTGGATCGTGAGGTTCTGTGGCAGTGTCTGTCATTGAAAGGTGTACCAAAGAAGTACATTAACCTTATACAAGCCCTTTACTCGAGCTTATGGCGAACTGTCAACGGAATTCTCTACATCAAGTGGTGTCCGTCAGGGATGTCCACTTTCTCCATTCTTGTTTAATTTTATCATAGACATGCTCCAAAAAATAACCTTATCCTCGACTGAATTTTCAGGAGTAGACCTTCTACCAGGTGGCTCGCTTATTGACTTAGAATATGCCGATGACATTGTCCTACTTGGTGAAGACGCTGACAAAATTCAGAGTCTTCTGACTACCCTAAGCAACAATGCAAGCATGTTCGGGATGCGATTTCCCCCTCGAAATGCAAAATGTTGCTTCAAGATTGGGTTTCATCGGCACCTGAACTAGTGATAGGGAGTGAAGTAGTCGAACGTGTAGACCGATTCACTTATCTTGGGAGTCTCATCAGTGCCGATGGCCTGGTGACTGACGAAATCTCAGCTCGGATACAGAAGGCTCGATTAACTTTTGCCAACCTGCGTCACTTATGGCGTAGACGAGATATCCGTTTTCTGACTAAAGTATGAGTGTACTGCGCAGCAGTTCGCTCCGTCTTAGTTTATGGCTGTGAAACATGGCCAGTGAGAGTAGATATTCGTAGGTTGCTGGTTTTCGATCATAGGTGTCTTCGAAGCATTGCTCGTATATCGTGGGACACCCGAGTGAGCAACGCTCTTATTAGGAAACGGGTACTAGGTAAGGATGGCAGATCAATAGATGAAGTGGTGAAACTTCATCAGTTGAGGTGGTTGAGACATGTGTTACGTATGGCTAACCACCGACTGCCTCGACGAACTTTGTTTTGTAGTGTAGGAGTAGGTTGGAAGAAAGGTAGGGGCGGCCAAACCAAAACATGGCAGAAATCCATGAAGCCATTGACTAGTGGACTGAGCCATGTCGGTAATTGTCGACTACCTGGTTGGGGTCCGCGAGATGATAATAATCGATGGCTAGAGACCTTGAATGACATGGCTCAAAATCGTTCGCAATGGAGCCGGTGCATTTATTCTTTGTCTTCTCTCAAATCCTAATCTTCTGGATTCTTCAACACCTCTAGTTTCGACTCTCTAAACTTTTCTCACTGAATCATAGTTTTTGAATAATATCTTCTAATCCTAACCTCTCCAATTACTTCTAATACCTTAACTACCTCTTCTACTATTGGATTTGAATTGACAATTATATCTCTGTGCTGATGTGGTACGGCAACATGAACTGATGTACTTACTTACGATGTTCTACGTTGCATCTGACTGACTGACTGACTGACACAGTTCTAGTCCTTGATTCCTGTATCATTAACAACAACTACATGTCAGTTTATTCCATACCAAAAACGACTAAACATGCAATCGTACACCCAATATCCACAGGAGATTGGACAACAGAACTAGAACTTCACGGTTGAAATGGCTTGCGACCTATTTAAAAATGTATACCTAAACGTTAATGTGCCGTACTTTCCTTGGACTTCACAAAGGAATTCAAGAAATCCCTTACCTTGACTCGATAAGGAGATAGACACTGTTCACTGTTGGAGGAAATTAATATGGGAAAAATATAGGACATTTAACAATGACGAGACAAAATCTCAATATTAGGAAGCCCAAAATATTTGTGCCACAACTGTCCTAAAGTTCAGAAGATTGTATGAATAGAGGCTAATAAAACTGTTCACAGAATACACAAAAAGACTAAAATTGTACTTTTAGAGACGGACTGACAGAAGAGAAAGCATACCAGCATATCGGGAGGCAGTAGAACATAACTCCAGGATGTCTATCTGGGACTCTGTTCTCAGCAGGGTGCCTCATTGCACAGTTTTAGGACCAGAATTGTTCTTAATGTGTGTGACTTTCTAGCCTCCTTTCATAATCAAGCTGAAGGTATGAGGAAACAAAGAGCAATAAAAACGAAGGTGACAATCTACAGATTCAAAATGACCTGAAAAAATTAGATTCATAAAGTTGTCGAACGATGAGGGACTGTCTTGGTTAAACCTATTTCCCTTCTCATACAAGAAGACCGAATGTGATTTCATCACTGTTTTTACGTTACTCAATGATAAATTTGCATCCAAAACGTTCCCGCCTCTATTTTCTTCCAAAATAGATAATTTAAGGGGAAGCTCACGAGTTTATAAGCTCAGAACCAATTATTTTTCAGCTGACGATCGACTTTTCCATTGAATCCTCAGCGTACGAAACTCATTGCTTCAATATGTGATTAGGGCTCCCGTCTGTCGACACATTTCAAAAGGAAGTGGGATCAACTGAGAGACCAGCATAGCCAGGACTATCAGAGGCTACCTAACCTTCTGCCGTTAACAGACCGAAAATTAAACCGAAAAAATACCCAACTCACTATATGCTGTGTACAAATACTACACATTTTCTATTAGAGATACGGAGATTAGTGTTTTTACACAGTTGAAAACATCAGTCAATCATTGTTAGACCACCATTAGAAACCTAGAAGCACTGGTAGACGGCCGTTTCGTCCTAGTATATGACTCATCAACAGTGCGCATCCATGACTCCTGCACCTCGCAGGATTCGAACCCGGCACCTTCGGAATTGTGCGCGAACGCCTAACCATCGGAACACTGGGCCGGCATCCAACGGTGTTAATGTATAACTCTGATTGATCTAGGGATTTTGCGTGACCTCACCCATTTGTCTTCGGTAGTTACTACCTACACCCGAGAGGGTTGAACTCCACCGGTCACGTCTTCTCACTAGAACTCCGAGAGTTCCCTCACGAAGCTAGTCACTAGAAAGCACATTTACGATATTTTCAATTAGAGTTATGGAGACTACATTTTCATGTTAATGGGCAGATTTCTATTTTTCAGAGGCCAACATTAGAGAGAAATTATTTCCTTATGTATTGTTCATTGTGATTCGAAGTCCAAATAATTTGTTTTCATAATTCAGTATTTGTTTGGCGCTCGACGAATATATTGAGTACATGTGTTGGTTGTAGGTGAGTGGGTCTGTTGGTGTTACCGCGTTCTTAACTATCGAGTTTGTGACCTGGAATTCTCAAACATATTATGGAGAATACTAGTTTACTCATACTAATAGCTGCACCAAGTAGCAAGTGGAGGCTGTAATACCAGAATTAGAAAAATATAAACTCCGGTAACTATTAATAAGGGGTTTCAGCTTTCTAAGACTTGCGTATGAATAAATTCTAAGTGTGTTTTCTTTGCTCACAAGTTTCAGTCGTTGATCGCCTTGCCAGTCCTAACCACAAATATGCTCATCAGTTTTTCATAGATATCACGAGAAAACAGGAAATTCTTTGTTGTACGCCATGTCTTTATTAGTCACCTTAATAAGTCGAAACATATTTAAGTATTCAAGGGTGTCCTGTTCGAAAACAGTCGTACTCAAAGCACTGAATGGTGACACCCAAACGTCAAGTCTTATTTTACTTTCTTGTAACTGGAGGTTTTTCTGAGGATTCATTTAGTTAGGTAGCCTATTGATGTAAGTGATACTACATGAGGCTTACATACTTTGTCTATCTTATTACTTGTGGGTTATGAGATCTCGATATAAGGACTCAGATCCACCAAACCCTATTCATGTTTACTTATTAAGGGAAATACCCGTCTAAACTAGGGCCTAGGTATGTTGTGAAATGGATCATCGTCATTTCTTACTTTTAGTTGATCAGATTTGTTTCCTCTTGTAAAAATATACTCCCTTTGTTTAACTTTTAATACTGATGGACTTGTCTGTCTTGGTATAGTCGTGCTGTATTGTCTCCCGAGGTCTTACCAGAGCAACTTGAATGTAGAGTATATCTAAATGTAAAGATATCACACTACTAACTGCCTCTGATTAACATTTAGCAATCAGGCTTTACTTGCTATAAAAGCAGACCCTACAGGTTGAAGTTTATCATGGACATACATTTAGAGATAATACTCATTGTCTGACCTTTTAGTTGACCTACTAGCAGATCCACTTATTGACTCAGAATATCCAAATGGTACAGTTCTTTTTGGTGGAGACACTGAAAAATTAGTCTTCTGACCACCTTATGCAAAAATGTAAGCGTGTTGACCGCTCCACTTATTTTGGGAGTTTCATCAGTCTCAGTAGCCTAGTATCTCGGCACGGATATAGGCGGCTCAACTGATTTCTCCCAAATTGTATAGGTGAGGTTTCCGTATGCTGTTCAAAGGACTAGTGTACTGAGCAGCAGTTCGCTCCGTCGACCATTCGTGTGTGAAACGTGGCCACTAAGAACAGAATATATTCGTAGGTTACTAGTATTCTGTCGTAAATATCTGCGAAGTATTGTTTATGTATTATTGAACCATGCAGTAAGCAATGCTTGTGTTAAAAAGGGCACTAGTTAGAGCTAACAAACCAACTGATATATTGGTGAATCCTCATCAGCTGAGGTGGGTGCGCCCATATTTATGCTCATTCATATTGTACACTTTGTAAAAGTGACTAAAACTTTGACGCACTAGAGTTGTTATCCACTCAATATCCAACTTAATATAAGCAGGATAAAGGCTTCTTATAATTTGGAAAATGCCAGTTAGATTGCGCATAAAAGCATTTATGGACACTACTTCGATTTCAAGTAGGCTGTTAGTTAAAGTTGTCAAAACTAAACTGCAGCGTGATGCAAATAAACTTCAGTTAGTCAAAACAAATACATCAGTCCCATAAAAATGAAATATATATTTATTACTATACATTATCATATTTTATTTCTAAGTACTCCATTTTATTGAAGTCAAAAAATTCTAAAAATTGCTCCTCTTACTACTATTTGTATAGTCAGATATCACTAATAATCTTGACTTGACAGTTCAGAGCTTCATAGAAGTATTTGTAAAAGGTTGCACCCCACATCTCTAAGCATTTAGGTATAAAAATTGGAATAACAGCTTGTATGATGTTACTAAACTAGCGTTAGTATACTGGCTTATTTTTGTATATCACTTATAAATTACTTCAAACTCTATACGTTTGATGCTTTCTGTCAGTGTTGCATGATGATTTCTTGTTAACTGAATGGTTTCTACCATTTGTATTAAAATGGAACGGTTTTCGTGATAATTATCAATCCTTACGAAAAGCGGAAAACATAGAAGTTCGTATCAATAAAGATATTCATGTTCATTTAAAGACTTGTGTTAAAATTTCTAAAAAGATGTGTATCATATTTTCGAACCCACTATTTGAAAATGCTCATTCCTAGATCACTAAATTAAAATCGTAAAAGTTATGCTAGCGTCACAAGAATTTTATATCTCAGATGTTTTAATGTGAATATGTAGATTTGCATTATGCGACGTTATTGTTACATTATGTTTTAGGATTCATGTCAACAGCTTCTAAAATCACACTAGGAGTTTCGTGTATTTTTGCGTTTTCAGCATTTGTAGGTGTACATATTGCTCACGCTCTTGAACGAGAAGTAATTTACTCAAATTACTAAACCTGACTTTGTAGAAGCTGAGTGAGAACGTACGCCGTGAAATAGAAAAAGAAATCAATGAAGCGAAAAATGCCACATCGTATGTATCGGAATATAGTCACATTTTTTAAAACCCATTAGTGATAGACAACTCAATATCTCTAAATGATACCGAACTAGAATCTAATGAACATCGTCTTTCTGTCAGCGTTTTATTCGAAAATTCAAATTTTGCAGAAATTGCTATGCGTACACTTTCAGTGGATTCTCCTCCTCCAAGGTCAACAGTTAAAGAACAAACGGATCAAAAGGGTCCTAATCTCATTTGTACATTCTCTGCTCCTGTCACAGCTAATAATAGAAATCAACAGTTACGAAAATTGCGTATTGCTGTGAATAGTTGGCTTGATCATGTTACATTAGTTTCGGAAACGATCAGTGCGTTTGGAACTATGAATTCCAATTTTTCATCTGAGCGAGCTATTAATGGTGTTTAATTATTTTACCATAATATACAATCTAGTGATTCATTTCGAATTTCTTTTCTTTTTTTTTGATTTGTACTCATAAGGCACATCATTTTAATAATCTGTTTCTTTTTGAAGCTTTTTTCCTATCATGGAGTATGATAATGTGTTCTTGAGTGTTGCACAAAGCTGCGAAAATGGAATACAAGGATTGTTGGATGCCTTTTTTGGCTTTCTTTCCAGACGAACAGATTTTTATTATGGAGCCACAGAGAAAGACGCCAAACGTCTGGTTCTTGACAATTTTACAAAACATCGTGTAAGTTTCTCGCTCTAAGGATAGAGTTCCGTAATAATAAGTTCATGTTTTTTCCCAATCATGTCTTTTATTATTGCCACTAATTCTATTACCACCTTGATTACTGTGATGTTTCCCCAACAGCTGACTGAAAATGATCATGAAAGTACTCAAAGTTTGTTAAGTAATGTTATTCTCTATGAATAATTGTAGTAATGTGTGTAAAAAAAATCACCTATAAAGTATGATCTTGTGCGAAGAAAACAGTCAATCATAATCAATATAGATCTTAGACAGAAACAGTTATCAGTTATAGTTGCCATCAGTCAGTCAGTCAGTTGCAACGTGGAACTTCGTACGTATGTACATAAGTTCATGTTGCCATACCACATTAGCACAGAGACGCAAATGTCAAATCAAATCCCATAGTGATAAAGATAGTAGAGGTATTAATAATGGTAATGAAGAAGACTAGGGTTTGAAGATATTATTCAAGAAGTATAATTCAGTGAGATAAGGTTAGAAAGACAAAGGTAGAGGTGCTGACGATTCCAGAAGATTAGGATTTGAGAGAGCTCAACGAATGGATGCACTTGCGCCATTGCAAACGATTTTGAGCCATGTCGTTCAAGGTCTCTAACCATTTGTGACTTTCGTCTCGCGGACCCCAACCAGGTAGTCTACATCTACCAACATGAATCAGTTCACTTTTCTGTGGCTTCATGGATTTGTGCCATGTTTTGGTCTGGCCGCCCCAACCTACTCCTATACCACAAAACAGCTCGACGAAGCAGCCGGTGGTTGGGCACACATGTCCCAACCACCTCGACTGATAAAGTTTCACTAATTCATCTACTGATCCGCCATCTCTGCCTAGTACTCATTTCCTAACTACAGCATTGTTTACTCTGTTGTCCCACGATATACGAGCAATTCATCTTAAACATCTATGATCGAATACTAGTAACCTACGAACATCGTCTACTCTTAATGGCCATGTTTCACAGCCATATAGGAGAACGGAGCGAACTGCTGCGCAGTACACCCGTCCTTTGGTTAGCGAACGGGTACCACGCCTACGCCATAAGTGACGCTATAGTTGCCATCAGAAAACAATGAAACCAGCAAAATAAATAATAACACATAAGAGTCGAGGTGGTTGTAGTATAAAATATTAAACTTCAAAAATATAGTTTGAAGAAATATGAATTTATCGAATATCTGGTAATATCCATACCGATGTTGAAAAGTGAATGAATGAATGAATCAGTGTCACTAGACAAATTTTGAGCCACAGATATTTAGTGATCAAAATTCACGTCTTATTCATACTTGAATGAAATTAAATATTATCCTCTCAAAACTTTTGAGAAAATTCCATTTCTTACAGATAGATTAATGAAAGGTATTGATCAAGTCACTTGCCTATATGGTGGTTCCTTTATTCTTCAACAGACGGTCAAACGAAAACATGGCATCCATCCATGAAGTCACTGACAAGTGTACTGAGTTATGTTAGTAAATGTAGACTACCTGGTTGGGGTCTGCGAGACAATCGTAACCGATGGTTAGAGACGTTGAATGACATGGTTCAAAATCGCTTGTTATGGCGCAGGTGCATCCATGCTTTGTCTGTCGTCTCTCAAATTGTAATCTCAAATCCTCATGACTTGTTTTTCTATTTTTAAATTTATTTCACTCGGATATACATCTCGAATCATTTCTTCGACGTCTATTCTTTCCCACTTTTTTTAATACTGCTACTACCTCTATTACTATGGGATTTGAACTGACAATGTCATCTTTCCTTGTGCAGATATGGCATGAAAACTTGAACTAATGTACATACATCAAGTTCTACGTTACATCTATCTTATCTATTCGTCATTCGTCAGTTGCAACGTAGAACTTCGTACGTAAGTACATCAGTTCATGTTGCCATACCACATTAGCACAGAGACGCAATCCTCAATTCAAATCCCATAATGGTAGAGATAGTAGGAGTATTACTGGTAATGGAGAAGATTAGGGTCTGATCTATTACTTATGTTATATCATATTGTGAGTTTAGCTCTTGAAGTTAACTAATCTAGATAAAAGATTACTTCAAGTAGGACATCTACAGTCCCTGTGGGTTATTTTTCGTTGCACAGTGTTTATACAACCAACTTGTAGTAACAGTTTACTTTATTTTTTCAATAGGATGCTGCTTTAGCACGTCATGAAGAGGAAAAAAAAGAATTACATGAACGAGAGGAACGTGAACGTAAACGAAAAGCTGAAAGAGAACAAGAAGCAATTAAAGCGAATCTTGCCGCAGCAAAAGAGTTAAATTCAGGTTAGCAATGTTTATTTTTACACTGATTTTCAGTGGTACACTAAATAAAAAGTAAGTAATGCAACTTACTAACGAAACACCCACCATATCAAAATCGTATCAGTGTTACAAACTCTGTCTGTAGACCCTCTGGGGGCTATTGACGGTCGCAAGCCCAGTTAAAGGTGAAGGTTTTGGACACGGGGTTAGCGACCACATACCGTAGAATACTAACTCGTTATAAAGGACGCTAACCACGTGACACACTTCTTGTTTGAAAATGGGAATTTAACGAAATTTATACGTACACGTGTATCACAAAATTCAATCATCCTCATTCTTGCATGAACTACTGATATCAGTCAGTTTGTCAATGTGAATCTAATGGGTCGGAGTTTGTATACTTACTTCTATTTCATGTTAGAAAACTTGTCAGATTTATTTACTGTTCTTGTGTACACTGGCTGTATAATTAAGTGATTGATGTTACTGTGTAATGACCAAAGATGTCAAGACTGTGTGAAATAACAGTTAGTGTATTTCTCATGACCTTCATCTTTTTTTCCTCAAATTTATTTCAGTAGATTATACTCCTTGAATAACATCCTCAAACCCTAATCTTTCCGATTATCGCTCATACGTCTCCTATCTCTACCACTATGGGATTTGAATTGATGATTCTACCTCTCTGTGCTAATGTGTTATGGCAACTTGAACTGTTGTACGTACGTACGAAGGTCTACGTTGTAACTTACTGACTGACTGACTATCTTCTTCCTCATATGTATTTTCTGATCTGTTCAAAACACTTTGATCACATCATACATACATTAGTTGTTATCGTACTAAAAAAAACTAATTCAAGTCTTCTCATTAGAGTTGTGTGTGTATGTTTAATTTCTCTTCACTTTCTTATACTTAAAGATGATAAATTAAATGGAACAAATGAGCAACACGTGCCAGAAGTACCAACTACATTACCAGAAACAGAAACAAAGCCATCACTTGAAAAAGGTGATCTGCCTAAACCAATCAAAGTTGGTCCGTCTCCTGATGAAGAAGAAGATGAAGAAGACAAGGGAAAATTGAAACCGAATGAAGGAAATGGTGCAGATCTACCAAATTATAGCTGGTATCAGACATTAGGTGAAGTGGATATCAAAGTTCCAACACGTGTAAGTTTTGTTTTGTGTGTTTTGTTTTTCGTTGAATCGGCTCGTTTGAAAAATTTATTTCCTGGAACAAGATATTGATAAATGTACGAGTGTCTTGAGTGGTTTTAACCCTTGTACAATGAGCTAAATTCTTTCTGCAAACTTATCATCCAATTCTTCTATTCATGATTTCAAAATGTAGCTCAACAATCTCCACAACCCCATAATGCAAATTACTTGACTCACTAGTAACTAACTCCGTGACGAATCTTATCCGAGTTCTAGTGAGAAATCGTAATCAGTGGAATTCAACCCTGTTCGGGTGTCAAGCAGTGCTCACCAAAGGCAGTGTATGAGGTTGCGCCATACCGTGAATTGATCGAAGTTAAACGTTAACACCACTGGATGACGGCTCAATGGTCCAGAGGTTAGGCGTTCGCACGCAAGACCGAAGGTCCTGGGATCGAGTCCTGTGAAGTGTAGCAGTTGTGGATGCACACAGTCGATGAGTCTGGTCTGAGGAAGATATGGCCGTCTTTCAGTGCTTCCAGGTTTCTGATGGTGGTCCAACATTGGTCGATTCATGGTTTCGAAATTCCTGCATTGTCCTGTAGTGAAATTTCAATTAATTCTACTATTCTTTGACGTTTTACTGCACGAAAATTGTAATAATTCTTGTAGTTTTTTTCACCAAAGGAATCGTCTTTTGTTTTGTTTTATATATTCAAAATTAGCTACCTCATCGCATTAAATGTCGTGATGTTTATGTGAAAATTGACAGAAGGCATATCAAGATTGGTTTAGTGAACAAAGAACCAATTTTATCCGGGAAGTTGTATAATGAAGTTAAGGTAAGCGAATTGTTTCTTGTTAAAATCATTTACTTATGTTTGGTAAAAGATGATTCATTTGGTGTTGAAATCATGCTTGTAGATTCATTAACTAGATAAAAAAATGGGTATCGTTTATTTCTCCATCATTCAGGCTTAAATTACATAAGACGGAATGCCATCACTTTCTTGATCTGCTCATTGTGAAATCGAAAAAAATTGACCTCTAATCTACAACTACAAACCTATACACACGCTAAATGAGAAGCAGTTCAGTTGGTGAACATTACTGGTTAACGTTTTTTTTAGTGCGTTAGTTTTCTACGAGATGGGTTTGCTAACCCCTATGCCCAAACCTCATTTATCCGGGCTTGTGACTGGCAGTAGCCCTGGAGAAGGCTCCGGGCGGAGTCAACCAGTGCATATATTTTACTACTAATTTTTCACACTATAATACTGTTAGGAATTGGTTAATATTATTGAATGGCATTGAAAAGAAACAGTACTTGTTAACCAAATTTTATCAGTAGTCGGTCAGTCAACAACACCCGACCGAAGCTGCTACCTTGACGTGGTGGTCGGGCTTGCCTATCGTGATGACCCAACCGAGCTATACTGGCTGGAACATATGTTCCTGCAGGTCCTACCATGCCAGGCTGGTCGATTGGAGAACGATGAGACTAAAAGCAGCTACCCAAGGTCTGAGGGCGAAGTCGTACTGCTGACTGCAGAGGGGTGTGACAGCAGTAAGGTGTTTCCCTCGGACAACCAGCATCTGCAGCGATGCTGCCTTCTCACAAGGAAGGAAGGGTTAGAAAAGGTCGGCCCTAAAAATGTCACACCTCCCCTAACTCACGGATTTCCGTCTCCCTGGGTAAGGGTGCCCACTAAGGGCCTTTAAGAACGGAGCTAATCCTCTAAATACCTCTCATAAAAAGGCCGTGCGTGACCGGCCTCAAGCAGTTGTCCCTTGGGCTCTGCGGTCACGCACCAACACTAATCCATCTTCCTTTTCAGGTCCCTCAAGAAACAACCTTCCACGGTGTGGGCAGCCGGGAAGTGACAACCGCCCTCATACCCGTAACAGCACGCGAGACCAAATTGGTCAAAATCAAATCCTTCCTATACCCCCTAATGTCTCTCTTATCTCTACGACTAACTGTACTCACACTCCCTTTTCTCACTGCACCGCTAATGCAGACAAAGCGAGATCACGAAACGTCGTTCCTGGTCTCTTGAAACCCCGTTCTAGACTACATGTTGGAGCTTTTAATGTACGGACATTGTGTCAAATAGGGCAACAGGCATCATTAGCTAGGACTTTAGAAACTCGTGCCATCGATGTATGCTGCGTCTCGGAAACGCGCATACAGGATCCTAGTAAAGTCATTAACCTGATTCCACCTTGTCAAAACGAAGAAGCAGCTCGATTTACTCTTCGTGTATCCGGTAGCCCTGATGCTGCTTCCAGGGGTCTTGCTGGCGTAGGCATAGCGTTGAGTCCTAGGGCAGAATTATCTCTCCTTGACTGGATCCCAGTAGATAGTCGTTTGTGCGCTGTCCGACTAAACGGGACAGTAAGGACTCGTAAGGATAGGGACACTCGCCGTTGCCTCTTCGTCATATCTGCCTATGCCCCCACTGACTGCAGTGCAGACGAGGTTAAAGATGAGTTTTACAGAAAGCTTTCGGACCTCCTCCAAAAAGCTAGGCACTCTGATATAGTAATAATGGCTAGTGACTTTAATGCTCAAGTAGGTAGACTAGGTGAAAAGGAAAGACATCTTGGTGGATGTTATGGTGTAGCGACTGAGAGAACAGACAATGGCGACCGTCTGTCGCAACTATGCTCAGATAACCGCCTATTCTTAGCGAACACCAACTTTAGGCATAAGGAAAAGCATCTGTTGACCTGGCGACCCCCGAAGTCGTCTCAACGTTGGACTCAACTAGATCACATCGCCATCAGCCACCGATGGAGGGGTTCGATAGAGGATTGTCGGTTGTTGTGGTGCACATGTTTAAATTCAGATCATGCTCTAGTGCGAGCTCGTATCTGTTTAAGGCTTACTGGACGTAGGAAAGACACCGTAAGAAAGCCTCTTAGGGTTTTACTTAATGATAATCAAGCTAAGAAAATATTTCAGGAGCAACTAGAAACAGAGTTAAGCAGCCATGCAAGCGATTCCCATCCAGAAGCAGGTTGGTATGATATCAAGAAGGCTGTGGAAACAGCAGTGATATCTGCTAGTAAGGTAAACCATGAGGCTAGGATGAAGCCGTGGATTTCAGCCGCATCCACCGAACTGATGGATGCTCGAAAACGCATCCCACCTGACTCTGAGCATGATGAAGAGCGTAGTCAGCTTAGGCGCAGACTTATAAAAAGTCTGCGTAACGACCGCGAACAGTGGTGGGTGGCGAAAGCAAAAGCGATGGAAAAGGCAGCGGCGATCGGCAACAGTAGACAACTTTTCCTCCTTATTAAAGAAACTGGTATTAGGAACCCGAATGTAAGTGAGACTATCTCGGAAAAGGATGGGATTATTATCCATTCTCAATTGAGGAGACTGGATCGATAGGCTGAACACTTTAGGGATCAGTTCAACTGGCCACGAGCCACTCTTCGGTTGCCCACGATCTCCAGTCATCCTGAATGGCAAATCGACGTATGTCCCCCTTGTCTTAATGACGTTGAGAAAGCGTTAGGAAATCTGAAACGAGGACGAGCTGCAGGTCCTGATAGACTGACCCCTGAGATATTTAAGGATGGTGGTCCAGTTTTATCAGCTAGGTTGACTGAGATCTTAGGTAGAATCTGGGAACTGGACGCAATCCCATCCGACTGGTCTCAATCCTTGATTGTCCCAATCTATAAGAAAGGACAAAAGTCTTCTTGTGACAATCACAGGGGAATAAGTCTAACTAATATAGTATCTAAAATATTGGCCTCAATAATACTTCGACGCTTAACGAAAGCTGGTGAAGAGCAGACTCGAGAAAACCAGTCTGGTTTTCGACCTGGACGTGGCTGTATAGACCACGTCTTCACACTCAGACAGGTCCTGGAACAAAGACACACATTTAGGCGTCCTACAATAGTTGTTTTCCTAGACCTTAAGGCGGCATTTGACTCTGTGGATCGTAAGGTTCTGTGGCAGTGTCTGTCATTGAAAGGTGTACCAAAGAAGTACATTAACCTTATACAAGCTCTTTACTCGAACACCACTGGTCGAGTGAGGGCTTATGGCGAACTGTCATCTGAATTCTCTACATCAAGTGGTGTCCGTCAGGGCTGTCCACTCTCTCCATTCTTGTTCAACTTTGTCGTAGACATCCTCTTAGAGTTAACATTAAGCTCGTCAAATTTTTCAGGGGTTGACCTTCTACCAGGAAAGACGCTTACTGATCTAGAATATGCCGATGACATAGTTCTATTTGGTGAAGACGCTGATAAAATGCAGAGTCTTCTGACTACCATAAGCAACAATGCGAGCATGTTCGGGATGCGGTTTTCCCCCTCCAAATGCAAAATGTTGCTTCAAGATTGGGTGTCATCGGCACCTGAACTATTGTTAGGGAGTGAAGTGGTGGAACGTGTAGACCGCTTCACTTATCTTGGGAGTCTCGTCAGTGCTGATGGCCTGGTGACTGACGAAATCTCGGCACGGATACAGAAGGCTCGATTGGCTTTTGCCAACCTGCGTCACTTATGGCGTAGGCGAGATATCCGTTTGCTGACTAAAGGACGAGTGTACTGCACAGTGGTTCGCTCCGTCTTACTTTATGGCTGTGAAACATGGCCAATGAGAGTAGAAGATACTCGTCGGTTATTGGTTTTCGATCATAGGTGTCTTCGAAGCATTGCTCGTATATCGTGGGACAACGGAGTGAGCAACGCTGTTATTAGGAATCGGGTGCTAGGTAAGAATGGCAGATCAATCGATGAAGTGGTGAAACTTCATCAGTTGAGGTGGTTGGGACATGTGTTGCGTATGCCCAACCACCGACTGCCTCGTCGAGCCTTGTTTTGTAATGTAGGAATAGGTTGGAAGAAAGCTAGGGGCGGCCAAACCAAAACATGGCAGAAATCCATGAAGTCATTGACTAGTGGACTTAGCCATGTCGGTAATTGTCGACTACCTGGTTGGGGTCCGCGAGATGATAATAATCGATGGTTAGAGACTCTGAATGACATGGCTCAAAATCGTTTTCAATGGCGCCGGTGCAATTATTCTTTGTGTTCTCTCAAATCCTAATCTTCTGGATTCTTCAACCCGTCTAGTTTCGACTCTCTAAACTTTTCTCACTGAATCATACTTCTTGAATAGTATCTTCTAATCCTAACCTCTCCGATTACTTTTAATTCCCTTACTACCTCTTCTACTATTGGATTTGAATTGACAATTATATCTCTGTGCTGATGTGGTATGGCAACATGAACTGATGTACTTACGTACCAAGTTCTACGTTGCATCTGACTGACTGACTGACTGAGTTAACAACAACATAGAACTTCGTACGTACGTACATCAGTTCAAGTTGCCATACCATCCATATTATCACAAAGATGCAATTGTCACTTCAAATCCCACAGTAGTAGAAGTAACAAGAGTATTACCAGTATTCGGAAATTTTAGGGTTCGAAAATATTATTTTAGGAGTAGAATCTAGTGAAAGAAACTTAACAAGATAAAGTGATGAGGTTTTCAGAAGGTTAGTAGGATTTGAGAGAACACAATGAATGAATGCACCTGCGCCATTGCAAACGGTTTTGAGTCATATCATTCAATACTAAATTTTATAGCATAATTGGTCACTTATTCTTCATGTGCAGTGTAATCATATCACTTTTGCTATGCCTTTAATATGAAGCACATGAGACAAGTTATTCTATGCAATTCATGGGTATCTGCTCAAGTTGTTCTGACAGAAGTAAAATGTCACCTTACTTAGCTAATGACAATTTATTCAACCTCTTATATATTTTGAAAGCATTGATATATGAAAACTTACTTACTTACGCTTATTAGCAGCAATCGAGCATAAACCGCCGACCAACACTGTCCAACTTACTGCATCCTTGGCCTTCCTTTCTCATTCTGTCCAGTTGTTGTTCAAAGTTACGACAAATCGTTTTTGTGCCCATAGAAGTATCTTAATAAATGCTAAGATTTGTCAGAAACAATGTTGAAAGCTTCGTATGATCAAACTACTCATATATTTCAACACTATCAAAATGAAACGAATTAGCTGATTATAGATAGGTAGTTGGTGTTGGGTTTTTTTTTCATGGCATCATCCTATTATTAAAAGATTCTATCTTTTACTTGTACAATAAAAGTCTTTGTATTTCACGCTATACAGAAAGTAAATATACCTCAGGAATTCAAATTGTATGGGCTTTCAACGTCAATCTCTTTTGATTATTTGTAGGGGTAGACTGGAAGAAGTCTAAGGGTGGTCAGGCTAAAATATGGCACAAATCCATGAAGTCACTGACAACTGGACTAAACCATGTTCGTAGGTGTAAACTACCTGGTTAGGGTCTGCGAGGGAATATTAACTGATAGTCCTTGAACGACATGGCTCAAAACCGTTTGTAATGGCGCACGTGCATCGACTCTTTGTGTTCTCTCAAATCCTAGTCTTCTGAATTCTTCATCATCTTTCTCTTTCTTAAGTTATCGCACTGGATCATACCTATTAGATGAGTTCTTCGAACCTTAATATCTCCGACTACTGCCAATACTTCTACATCGACAGTTGCGTCTATCTACGCTAATGTTTTATGGCAACATGAACTGATGTACGTACGGACGGACGAAGTTGTACGTTGTAGTTAACTTTGTTCATATGTAACTCATGGTAAGTTATACCTAAGGATATGTGATTAACTAACGACAAGCTGATTACTTTCCATCTATTGCGGCTAGTTTAGTTTAATCTTACCATTATTCAAATAAAGTTTGTAGCATTTTTTTCCTTTTATTTAAAAAAAAAGAGAAATACATTAGAAATGTTTATTGTAACTTAGGTTGAAGAATCTTCCTGGAGTCTTATCGATGGACTTACTATATCTGTGAATCTTGAAAAAGTTAACAAAATGGAATGGTGGAGTCGTATTTGTGAAGGTGAACCAGAATTAAATACACGTAAAGTTCAACCGGAAAATTCCAAACTCTCCGATTTAGACGGTGAAACACGATCGATGGTTGAAAAAATGATGTATGATCAACGTCAAAAAGAACTCGGTCTGCCTACATCAGAAGATCAGAAAAAACAAGAAATGTTAAAAAAATTTATGGCTGCTCATCCAGAAATGGATTTTTCCAAATGTAAATTCTCTTAAACATTTGTTTGTTTGTTTGTCTGTCTGTCTATCAATCAATCAATTGAAACTGCGCGCTTACGAAACATATACATATAAATATACATCTTTTTTGTGTGTGGATATTTTATGCATTAAAGAAGAAACTTTCCCAACAAATTATATGAACAATTTAATCAATATATAAATATATATATATATTGACATCTGCTATTTTTGTGTTTGAGCGCGAAAAGTAATAAAAATTCAACGTATCGATTGTTTGTTTTGACGTGAATCACTACTCCATTGTGTGAAGATGGTGTTGTAATTGAGTACTTTGTTTTTCTGAATTGATTTGTGTGTGTATAGTTGAAATTTCCCCATGCATAATTAAAACAGTGTTATCTCTTGTTTTTGAAAACGAAAATAATAAACCAGAGTAAATTTGTGTTATTTTACGATGATGATGAGAATGATCAATTGTCCTGACTTTTTTGATGATTGTTAAGAATGATTTCTTTACATAGGGCGGATTCGATTGTTTCTACTTGATAGTGTTCCAAAATGACACTTTCGGCACTACATGCTAGTTAGTAGTACGCAATGGAATATGGAACAAATGTGTTATTCATCACTGTATGTTAAGGTGTAATCATTATCAAATTGTATATTTGTGTTTTATATATGTATATATGTATGCCTTGGAACGATCATGTGAAAAGCAAGTTCTCTTGGTACCGAGAAAATATTGACTACCTAATCGTTGGATGTCATTCTTATATTATGGTTACTCAGTCAGTCAGTTACAATGTAGAACTTCGTACGTACGTTCATGTTGCCATACAAAGAGGCAATCGTCGACTCAAATGTCATAGTGGTAGAGATAGTAGAAGTATTAGCACTATTAGAGAAGATTAGGGTTCGAAGATATTATTTAAGAAGTCGAATCTAGTGAGTTAACTTAAGAGAAAGAAAGATAACGGTGATAAAAAATTCAGAGATAGCAAACAGTCGATGCATCTGCGCCATCGTAAACGATTTTGAGCCATGTCATTCAAGTCCTCTAATCATCGGTTAATATCATCTCGCGGATCCCAACGAGGTAGTCTTTGCCTACCAACGGGGCTCAGTTCAGTAGTTCTTAGTGACTTAATGGATTTGTGTCATGTTTTGGTTTGGCTGCCCCTAGGTTTCTTCCAGCCTACTCCTACACCACAAAACATCGCTCGTGGAGGCTGTCAGTGATTAGGAACACGCAGCACATGTCCCAACCACCTCAACTGATGAAGTTTCAGCACTTCATATATTGATCTGCCATTCTTACCTAATACCCTGTTTCCTAACAACAGCATTGCTTACTCAATTGTCCTACGATATACGAGCAATGCTTTGAAGACATCTATAATCGAATACTAATAACCTACGAATATCCTCAACTCTTACCGGCCATGTTTCGCATCCCTATAGCAGGACGGAGCGAACTGGCGCACAGTAGATTCGTCCTTTGGTTAGCAGACAAATGTCTCGCCCATGCCATAAGTGATGGAGGTTGACAAGAGCTAATCGAGCCTCCTGTATCCGTGTTGAGATGACAGACAGATGCAACGTAGAACTTCGTACGTAAGTACATCAGTTCATGTTGCCATACCACAGTAGCACAGAGACGCAATTGTCAATTCAAATAGTAGTAGTGGAGGTAATAAAGGTATTAGAAGTAATCGGAGAGGTTAGGATTAGAAGATATTCAAGAAGTATGATTCAGTGAGATAAGTTTAGAAAAGCAATAAACGACAATTAGGTGGAGTTCTAAATAACAGGTATGGTCTTATTTGGAGCTTGGAGTTTGAATAGGTTGTGTTTATTTTGGCTGAATTCTGGCCCACAGTGTTAAATGTGTTTTACCAGGACCCATGTATAAATGCAAACTTTCAGACCTGCTTAATGGTATTCTTCACAAAATTTTGTAAACAATCGTCAACTCATTCTTCTTATCAATTTCGAAAACAAAATATCTGATTGCTGAGATGTTTTCACAAACCAGGCCATCAGCACTGATGAGCTTCCCGCAATCAGTGAAGTGGTCGAAAGGCCCAATCGCTTCACACCCTAACACTAGTTCAAGTGCCGACGCTAGTTAGTTCTTATTATTATGGTGTTTAATATGAAATCAATCTTCCCAGTTATTTCATCACTTTTGAATCTAAGTTTTAAGAAAACAGGTCTCATCCTTCATGTTTAGATGACCTCATCTCTGTTCACGTAGATCATATATTTTTTGTTATTAATCTTTGTTACTCTAATTTTCTTCCGTCATAAATGTTAATTGGTTCACATTTTATCAAACCTGATTGTTGAATATATATTGCTGCGAGCATTAGATGGGAAACCACAAAATATATAATGAATTCATTTTATTCTGCTTCAACTGTTGTTGTTGTTATGACCTTATCTAAATTCGTACAGATGCGAAGTCCGACGTTTGAACCTCGTTGCTCCTAGTTTAACTTCCGTAACCAGATATATTATCATTAACTCTCACACTTAGAATATGGCTCATAGCCAAGCACCTACTAATTGACTTTATTATATTTTACTGTATCACACAATCAGTCATGAAATTTCGTAAACAGAAGCTATTATCACTTAAACGGTGTTCAGCTTTGGTTGATGATTCCTTATCATTTTCGCCTTTTAAACACCATTGTTTTAGTGATCCAATATCTAACTGATTTATACAAACCGTGAAACATGCTTATAGAATAAACTTCCCATTTAATTCCGCCGATTTGTGGGATGACAGTAGTAATGAAAAGACAAAATAGATTGAGTTGAATGAGTTTACTACTTGCTATTATTCACATAAGCAAACATTACGATACGAAATGAATGGTGAAATGGAGAAGGTAAGTAGGTCAATTGGATTTTATCAAATGTGACTAACAATTTGTATTCAACCACAACTAAGCTGGACACGCGATAAGCGAACTAAGTAATGCACACACAAGGCTACAAGAGAATAACTATGAAGGTCGAAATACGTGCGAATATTGACTTGAGAAGAATGAATTAAATGGTTTGTCTAAAAGATAGAATAAGCCACGTAGGCTTGATATAATACTACACAGTACTCTTTCTTACACAATTGGGAAGCGATTTGACCGTAGTCCTGTTTACAGCTTATTTGCGTATAAATATCGTTACCTCCATACGTCATTCCGATAAAAGTTATCTTTTCAATAAACTGTTCGTGTTGCGTTAAATCCCAACGTCTGAAGAACGAAGTACCATATTTTATTGTAAATCTGACATTTACATTTCTTTCTTGTGGAAGAATTGATGTAGGGGAAACGTGTCGATCATCATCATAGGCAACAAATGTGTCATCCATACAACGATTTATCATCAAATACCGGTTTTTATACTGCCCTTCTCTTTGACTGAACCTACGAGGCTAATCAGTGTAGGAGAGCTATTTCTGCTCAATGCTATAACTATACCAGAGAGGCGACGGGAAGCAGAAGTGGGGCTTCCACATACATAGGCGTGAATCGCTGCGGTTCTTCATTTTTACACGGTGATGTCATATGAATTGCTGTACTCGCATACTGTATGCACGTTTTGGAAGAGTGCGTCGTATGTCGATGGAACGAGATTCTTAAGTCCTAGCTAAGGAGCACTGTTATCCTCTGTTACAAGACCCGAAAATTAAAAGCTCCAACAAGTAGTTTAGAGTGTGCTTTCAGGACACCGGGAATGACGTTTCGTATACTCAAATCATTAGCATAGTGAGGTGATATAGGTATACGTGAACGGTTAGTCATGGAGACAAGAGTTATGAAGAGGTGGAGGAAGGACTTGATTGTGAGCCATTCTAGTCTGATATGCTGTTACGGATATGAGGACAGATGTCACTCCTCAATCACCTGCATTGTGGAAGAGTATTTCTTAAGAAGCTAGAAAAGAAAATCGGATTAGCTTTGGTCGTAACAACCTGGGAGTTTGACCACGGAACTCAAGATACAACTGCATGCGCCCGACCATTTTGTTGGGAGTTTTTGAAGTGTTAGCTCCGCTCTTTAGAAGGCCTTAATGCCGGAGACGGAAACTCATGAGGTAAGGTGAGGCGTGGCATCGACCTTTTCTAACACTTTCATCCCGTCATGAGACTGCAGCATCGCTGAAAATGCTTGTTGTCCGACAGGAAGACCTTACTGCTGTCACACCTCTCTACAGTCAGCAGTGTAACTTCGCCTCCAGATATTGAGTTGCTACTTTTAGTCTCCAACTGACATATATTCCTTCCATTATAGCTCAGTTTAGTCATCACGATAGACAAGCTAGATCACCACTATTGGGGTAACAGCTACAGCCTAGCCAGACAAATCCGTGAAGACCTTGACGACTGGACTGTCATGTTAGTAGGTGTGTAGACTCCCTGGTTGGCCTCTGTGGAATAATCGTAACCGATGGTTAGAGATTTTGAATGACCTACTTCAAATTAGTTTGCCATAGCGCAGGTGCATCCATTATTTGTCTTCCTTCAAGTTCTAATCTCAATCCGTCATGAACATTTTCTTTCTTTTCACAATTTATTTCACTGGGTGTGACTTTTCGAATTGTATTTACGACTCTCAACCTTTTCCATCAAATACTAATACTTCTACTATGGGATTTGAACTGATATTCTCATTTCTTCGCGCTAATGTGGTACGGCAACTTGAACTGAAGCGTGTACGTATGAAGTTGTAGTTGAGTGATTTACTATGCAGGTGCCCTATTGTATCAATATATGTATGTACTCAAATAATAATAGTAATCAACTTTTTCCACAACACATAAGTAAAAGCTAGCTGAATTCATCTCTTGTTAAGGGGAGTAGATTGGCGTGTCAATATATAGTGTGCATTGTTTCTGCTAGTAGAATCGCGATAAATAATGATAGACCAAATGAATTTATTGAAGATCTTTCACACTATGGACAGAAAACTTTGAAAAAATCATTTAAAAGTATTTGGTTGATTATCGAGGATCCTGGTGAA